TAGTAATCGCGAATTAAATTGACAAGCAATTTAATAATTTGATGCTACTATCAAGCATTATATATTATAAAGATGTTAATATGTTAAAACTGTTAATAAATTTATTGCGAAAAATATTACCTCGGCCGGGACTTGAACCCGGATTTCTTGTATTTCGTACGAGCGTCCTAAGCCCTTACTATGTCCTTAGACCACCGAGGCCTTCAAAAATTTAATTCAAACTCAACAAATCGAAATAATTGCAATTTCCTAAAAGAAGTTGAAGATACCCAAGAAATTTCTTTATGCTCCTAAAAGAAAATGGAAAATATCAGAATAAAAAAATGTGAAATTTTTTGTCGTTTGCAGCTGACGCCGGAGGACGAGGAACGACGCCGGCGACGACGCGAGCGCAACAAGATTGCAGCGACCAAATGCCGACTGAAAAAGCGCGAGAAAACGGTGATCCTTGTGCAGGAATCTGAAATTCTTGAGACCCAAAACCTGGACCTGAAGTCACAAATCCAAGAATTGGAGACTCAGAGGCGCAGGCTAGTCGACATGCTGAGTCTCCACAGTCCGACCTGTTTGAAGCAGGGCGTGGACGCAACGTCGTACCAGCAGTTCGCTGAGCCCGTTCATCTGCCTAGTTATCAGGAAAATTTTGTGCCACAACCCCCGCCGGCCCTTAATCAGCCACAGAACTGCGTCACCGATTACCCGGTGAAGGTCGAGGAGTACGAGACCGATTTCTACCGACAGGGTAGTCCGTTCGTACCGACAACATCGGATGCCGGTTGCACGGTTTAGCAAAACGGCGAAAATCGTTCTTCTTCTTCGTCTCGAGGGAGGAAGGATCGTTGAGAAGCTCGGAACGCGTATATAATAATTGAAGGTTCTTGGAGTGTTAGAGAGTCTCATCAACATTATTTTAATTTCGTCAAGATACAAAACTTCAAAAAATATATCTAAGAAACACACACACACGTACTTTTATAAAATATATATTTTTTTTGTTCCACAGACACATGATAAAATTAATAAAGATCGAAAATTATGGTAAATATTAATTGACGCTAGTGAAAGTAACTCTTCTTGAATTTAATTTTAAAGATTTGTAATTTTTATACACACACAACTCGGTTATTTATCACCTACGTGTTCGCAGATTAAATCCTTGTATAAAATTTCACTGAGTTGAAAACTATGAGGAATATTTAAAAGAAATTTTATTTAATATATATTCTATAGTTTGCATATTAGAATTTTATTTCACATTTTATAAGTTTTAATTATTAACATAATATGTAAAATATTATATAAAAGTTGGAGTTTGGAATTATATATTTTGAACAGTATACTTTGCACGATGAAATGGTTGGCGTCAGGATGCCGATAACGGCAGGATTATATGCATTCCATATACAAGGTATCGGAGAAAGTGATTTCGTTGATTATCTTTAATTTTTATTTCGCTAATTTTTGTAATTTAATTCTTAACACTTTAATTTTCTAAACGAGCCATCCGAGCTTCTCACCGTTCGTCTCTCCCGTTTGTAAGTCCATAGCTCGTAAGTCGATAATTATATCATAAACGCGAACAATGATTTTTATCTTTCGTCTTCCTCTTCATCCATCAATCTTTCCTTTCCCTTTTTTCTCTTTCACTTTTTCCTCTTCCCTTTTTTCTAACGAGCTCTTGTTATACTCGAAAAACGTTCGACGTAGAGAACGCTTGAAGACATTCCTTCGTAATAACCGTACTGTGACATTCTCTTATAAGGCCTTTAATTGTATAATCGATAATGTAAGATAAAGACGGACTATTCAGTGATGCTCATTCTTTTACAAGAATTATTATTATTATTATTATCATTGTTACGTAGAATAAAATTATTAAATTACGATGTATCAATAGAAAAATTTTATCCGTGATTAAGAGGATGCTGGAGTCGTTTGTGTTACCGATAAAATTGACGTTTTTGATGTTTTTGTTCCTGTCAAATTTCTTCTGTAATACTTCATAGTTTCACAGAATAAAAATTCCTTTTCCACGATTAAAATGTATATGCTAGTGTACTTATGGCTGGTATATTTTGTGTTCAAAGCTGGAAAAAATATAAAAAATAAAGATTTCTTTATCGATTTTACCTTCAACGTTGGTCGCCCATACTGAGATAAAAATGGATAAAAAAATCTTTTTTATTTTTTCCAGCTTTGAACATGAACTGCACCAGCTACAAGTACATTAGCATGTGCATTTTAATCGTGGAAAAAAAATTTTTCTGTGAAACCATTACGAAGAAATTCGATAGGAATAAAAACGTCAAAAACGCTAGTTTTATCGGTAATACAGATGGATGATTAATTTCAGACAGATGATTAATTTCAGTTAATTAAAAAGAAGTCTTCTCTATATAATAAGACTTTGAAAGTTTGCTTCTACATTTTTCAGTGAATTCAGCCGACGAATATATTATCCTTTTTTTATTTTTTATGTTTGTCACGTCGATGAAAAAACTAATAAGACAAGTGGGCATCGCTAAAACATGATCCGTCATTAATAATAAGCGAAAATCGAGACCGCAAATATTAACGAATATTAACGAATTGAAGAAAATTATTTTCAAATCGCTTTAAAGTCACACGCCTTGCAAAGTACAGGAAGACTTAAAAATTTTTTATTATATAAAATTTAATAATCTAAAAATTTGTTTGAGATTTTGAAAATTTCGAAAATTTTTGTATTAATTTAATAATAATATGCGGGTAATTTCCACTTAAGAAAAAGTTTAAAACGTTTTGAAAATAAGTAATTCTCTAATTTCGTGTCTCAAAGTGCGTGTCTCGGATTGCAACAGTGAGAAAGAGAGTACACGCGAGTACCCCGGTGTAAGTAAGTCTTCTTTATCATTGATATTGATTATCAAGAAATCGTTAACGTATGTTCAGAGGATACTTATAATTATATGAGTAATGAGAATGATATTTAATATTATATATATATATACATACGTATGCATATATTTTATACATATGCATATTATATATATTATATCTATTATATATATAATATGCGTATATACATATATATGTGTAATTTTACAACGCGCAAACAATTGCATAAATAAGTGCACGCCATTAACAATCAATGAACACTTAATTACATGACGACTATTAAATATTAGATTCGTTGGAGAATCGAGAATTACGTGCCTAATGACATACCTCAATTTAGTTTCGTTTTATTTCCCCTCAGTGCGTTTGCAAATTGAGACTTGATATATATTGCGATTAAAGATCTTGGATCCAGTTGCCAATATTCATACGAAAACAGATATAAACAGATAAAAAAAGCAGATGAAAACAGATGAAAACGCCAAAGAAAATTGCGAGAAAGCACAATATAATGTACCCTGTAATTCTATAATAATTGTTACAAGTTTGCTGAGCAAATTCTGTATGTTCAAATTCTATTTTTTAAGATTACTTAATATCTTCAAAATTGGAAAAAATGAATTTTGTTTTATTTTAAATATATTTTTTAAATAATTTCTTACAATAAAATATATTTTCTTCCTATTATTATAGTTTCCAGTGTCTGTTGCGTCTTAAAATAATTTTGGATTATTTGAAAGATTCCATATTATTTGATTTTTATTTTACTTTTAATTTGACAAACACACTTTGGGCTACGCTTATAAGATGATTTCTCACGTAATCTATGAAAGTTAGCCTGATCGTTAGCGGGAATGCTGTAATTATATTAATGGAGAAAAACGCTTATATACATATCCGCGGACTAAATGACTTTCCCTGTTCGGAATGTTGCTACTGATTGATAAAATAATTTTTATGATAATACAAAACACGAGAAACTTTTCCAGCGCTTCGCGAGCAAAGCAAAGCGGGACGAAGTGTCTTCCGCGTTTTTTTCTCTCTTTCTCTTCGATAGTATATGGAATTTACGAAATCAAGTAAAATCCAAGTATGACTTGTAAATCGCAAAAAAGAGAGTATGGCAGTTATGCCAGTATCATACAACAGCGATACGCAAATGGTGCTAGAAATATTATCTTCTTTTTATAGAATTTTTATCAAGTTGCCAGAACAGAGTATTTAATAGTTTAATGTGCCCTTAGGGGAAAACAATGAATTTCTATCTATCTATTTAATATAGTTTATATGTATTAAATGTGGGAGATATTTTTTTTTAAATTGGAAAGTAATATTGTTAAGTTAATGTTTCGCAGCTCCAACGTTAAGAATTTCGTTAAAAGTGCTTCGGTAAGTTTATATTTGCACAATCTTTGCGATTTTAAATAGCCCGTTCTGTTATTTTAATACTGCCAATACTAAGATCCTGGATATCGTGGTTTCTATAGTATCTAAGGATTCGTTAATTTTTTTATCAGTAATTCTTTTTTTTTTTAAGAAAAAAACGTCGCTTTTTTGGAGCAGTGTTAAGTTGCGAAATAAAGTACAGAAAAGCTGCATGCCAGATTTATACAAGATCATTATTATATTTTTTACGTATATTACTCAGTACCTGGCTATGTGATTTTCCATACAACATGATCGTTTTCTCACAAATTTTTTTTTATTAATACTGATAATATTATGTGCAAATAATAAGACAGATAAACGGCCGACAAAATTTAATCGTTATAACCTAAGGAAAAATTTTATTCTTTAAATAAAAGTGTCTTCAATACTAAAAGAATGTTATACTTAAACTTTTATAGGATTTCCCTCTTATGATAGGATTTTATTAAATTAAGAAATTTGATTTTGAATTAAAATAAATAAATTTTTTTATAATAGAATATATATTAAATTAAAATAACTAATTGTATTATTTTATTTTAATACAAAACTTTTGTGTTTCTTGAAGTTTGTACATCTATGTTCAAGATATTGTAATTACATTTCTTAGATTTTATCTCTCTTATTTTTTAGGATATATAATTAGTAAAAAAGAAGGTAAGTAATTTTTAACTATTTTATTATAAAATTCATTAATATTACGCACACATTTCTTACCTGCTTCATTCACAAAAGCAATTCAATAGATAGCAAATACATTTTTTTATTATAAATAAGATTAAGGGACAAGTATTAACGCACATAGTCTTGCAGAACCTTATCAATAATTATCAATAATTTCCTTAATAATATTGATGAGAATCAAGATTAATATTATGAACCTCTGAAAATAAAAAAAAATATTTAATTTTCTTAAATAATTAAAATAAAGTAGTAATTATGCAAATACTTACACAATGATATTGTTGATTGGGATATGGATTAGTTTAACGAAGAATCCTATGAAGCCCATTATACAGAAACCAATCGCAGTAGCAATAGCAATTTTCTGAAATTCTGCAATACATAAAAAACAAATTATGACTAACCATTATATTTATGGCATACGTAGCTTAATAAAAATAAATTACCTTTACGATCTGGTTTGGTACATCTTTTGACAAGTCGGATGCTGTCCTTGGCGAACTGACGGCCAGGTTCAGTGAGCTTCTTGATTTGATCCATAGCGATTGGTAAACTGCAAAAGAAGTTGCTTAAGAATAATTCTGAAATAAGCTGATTAATCAAACAACATACATGTATATAGAGTACATTTCAATCTTTCAGATATTCTTCGAGCTTCCATATTGAGCAACAATCCTTGAGATATTTTGTAATCATTGATCATATTTTGTAATAATAGGTCTGTTTTTGTAATTATACTGTTACACATTCTGTCAATTACACATTCAAAACAAAACAGGCAATAACTAGATATTGCAGACAAAAAAAAAGAAAAATGGAAATTTCAGTTATAAAAAATGCATAAATCTGCATTATATTTATGTTAGAATATTATACATAAAAGTTATAAGATATGTTTTATTTAGTATACAGATACAAGATGTCTATACTTTGATACAATAAATAAAATCTGAAAATCTTCAATTTTTTAATGTAAAAAAAGATTCTAATCGCTGTTTTATATAACATTATTAGGTTTGTATCACACTTTACTTTGGTTCGCAAAAAATTTTTTTTTCATTCATATCGACAAGAAAGAAAAGACATGCTCTTGTGTATTGATGCAATAAATTAAATCTGGGTTATGTTAGGAAGCCCAAACTTTTTTACGGAGAATTGCACAGGTAAGTATTCCTCTCGCGAGAGAAGAATAAAATTCGTACGTAAAAATATTCAAATGAGATAAAAACACAAAATACTCACGTTACACGTTATACGAGTACACCACACAAAACGTTGCTTCAGATGACTGCTCAGATGTTCCTGAACAGCAATGCACAACTATATACTCAAAACGCTACGTGGACGGTGCGCTGTCAGAACGTCACTTCCTCACGATTGATGCTGGCACTGAAGCGCTGCGGCGCCACGATACGGAGTAATTTGAACAACGTCATAATGGAACCTCAGTCGATACCGCTTCGCATAGGAGTTCAAAGGATATTCCAATAAAGAAATCTCGCAAATTGTCAAATTCAGATTATATAAATAGAATTCAAGAACTTAGCAAATATCAGTACCGGCAAATAAACCGTTTTAAAAAACTCATTTCTTATGTAAAACAGTTAAGTTTTCAATTTTATTTGAAATTATTTTTAAAAAACGATTTTGTAGGAAAAACTTATTTAAGATTTTACATTATAGGAAGTTGAAAATTTTTGCAATTTTTTTTAATACGCGGTAGATCCATAAAGTAAGGAAAACATTTTTCATTTTGTCCAATTCGTATAGTTTTTTTATATGTAAAACATTGTCAAACTCACAGATATTCGAAAGTAATATCAATCCAATACAGTACCGAAAGTTTTCAGAAATATCTCAGAAATTTTTCAACTGAAAAGTGAAATATTTCATAAAAAATTGCGAAATATGTCTGCAATATTTCTGAGACAGCTCTGGAACAGCAAAATGTTCGCGATTCTTGCACAACTAAAAAGTGAAACTATATGTTTTACTTTTCAGTTGAAATAATTCTGAGATATTTCTGACAACTTTTAATGCCGTATGGATATATATGACATACATAAAAAATAACAATAGTTACGAAGGATAAATAAACGCATCAAGCATATGTATATACAATGAAACCATTTGCAATAGCAGATAGTCTATTATTAGCGAAATGAGATAAATTACGTTTTCGAGTTAGATAAGAGCGATGCGCTCTTATAAATTGAGGTGCGAGGATCACACATTATTAATATCTGCATGAAAAACGTGGAAACAACATGATGCAGATCAGTGTTGTTTTTTCACTATTATGTATTCTGTGTGGAATAACATCCTCCCTTGCCTTCGTTTTCGAGGACTGTGGTAAGTACGTACTCTAATTATTTTGGAGAACTATTTTTGCAAGAAGGTCGATTAGTATTTCTTTAGTAAGACAGCTATTCATGTCATTAGTTTATATGTTAATTAGTACATTAACTTATATAATATATTAATTAATTAATAATATTAAAAGTTGGACAAGACTATTAAAAGTTATTAGTCAATGCGGCAATTTGCGTTGCTTATAAAAGGAATAAATTTGCGCATTAAGAGGTAGGCCACTCTAACGAGCATAAAAACAGCAATAAGTTCAAAAATTTTTTTTAATTTAAAAAATAATTTAATATAAAATCTAATTAAAACACTGGTTAGTGCATACATTGAAGTCTACTAAAAAAATTTTTTTTGTATTTTTTGCATCCAAAATGGCGGCGCTACCGATGACAAAATCTAGCACGGTTTTTATGAAGGTGCTCCGGGGCATGACATTTAGCATTCACAAATTTTGACCTAGAGCAAAAAAAATTTGTTTTTAATGTACATTAAAATACTTAAAGAAGTACGTAGGGGTTTGTAAAAATATTGATAATTTCAAGAATGACAGGCATTTGAAGTCACACTTGCATTTTTTGCTAAAAATTTTATTCAAAAACTGTTCATAAAATAAAAAGTTTTTTATATATCGAAAAACCTCTACGTACTTCTCTGCGAAATGCGTCTAAGAAGTTGCAGTTAAAATTTGAACCCATTCGTATAGAAATTATTGAAGTTATTTGTTATACCGATTTGAAAAATGCTGTTTTGAGAAAAACGCGTTTAAAGTTCAAGCGCTCATAGCGCTCAGCAAACGCTCAGCTCTTGCGCTCATTTTTTTCGTTATGAATTCAATTGCTACTTATTTTTGTGATGATAAAGTATCGAAAAAGCAAAAAAAAAAATATTCGATTTTTTGAAAATTCTAGGGTGATCATACACCCCTTAAGATTTAATAATTAATTTAATATGTCAATATTCCGCATATTTTTATATCTCATTTCTTTTAAATTTGAAGTTTTATTGTTCAATGCAGTAGCGTTATGACCGCTTTTGGCGTCCTACGCTAGAATTTACTTTTGTGCCCCATCACAAGAATTGCTAAGTCTCTGAAGTACCAATCTCCTGCCAACGGCAACGAACCAACAACTAAAAAAAAAGGAATTTTCATCAATTTGCATAACACAGGAATACAGATACGATAAATTTCATATTTTCTGTTGCAATCATATATTTAACGCCTCTCTCTCTCTAGTGGAACATACTATTATATTTTCTGGTTTTAGTAGTTTTTGAAAAATTTTAATTACGTCTTCAATTGTTATACGTAATCAAGACTGGTTACATAATCAAGACTAATTACATAATCAAAACTGTTCGCCAATTCTTTTTCAATTGATATCATAGCTAAATCGCATGACCGCGCGCGTCTGCGTCACTGTATTTCTCAGATAATTTTCTATTATTTTTAATTTTGAAAAAGAGATGCCTCTACAGTTGCCACAAACATTGGCAGTATTAGCACAGTTAATAAGATCTGTAACGCTATTGTTAAATTTAAAAAGATTTCCAGAAAACCATTTTTAGCAAATTCATTTAAAATATCAAGTAAGATAGAGCTTTATATATATAAGAGTAGCACTGCCTATTAAAATTTTGCGCCCCTCGAAATTTTAAGCCCTACGCTGGAGCGTATCTGCTTAATAACGTATCTGCCTCATATAAATAACGAGCGTTTTATTGTTAGTGTTTCATTTCTAATATCTATAAAGTTCTGAACGATGTTCAGATGGAACATTAAAGTAAAAATATTATTTTATTTTGCGTGTAAAAGTACAATTATTAAAATCAATAATTAATTTCCATTGAAGGGAAGAAACTAAAATGCAAATAATAATTAAATCAGGATATTTTATATGACAGTATAATATATAAGAATTAAGAATCCCTCTCTCTCTTATGAAATCACTCGAAGATCCTTGTTACTAATTATGTATTATCTATTGTTTGGCTCTTATCGTTAATTACAAATTACAAGGAGACTATTTACACATTGAGGATCTTTAATCAAGAATGTATAATAATACCGGAAACTATTAGCAACATTACACATTAAGTCATTTAATTACGTATATTCTTTGGATGTTTGTTTGATTAATATATAATTACGCTGTAGCTTATACATAACTTTCTGTTATTATGAAATGTAATTACATAGCAATACAAAAAGCGCACCTTCATGCGATGCAGTTGTTCGTGCGAAAATAAATTTGTTTCAATTAAATTAAATTATATTAATGTGTAGAATAAACATTTATAATATTACGTTTGTGTATAATGTAAATTATGTTCGTGATTTATGATTATTAAATTTATTTCAGGTTCGGAGGCAGGCAAATTCAGTGAGATCTCAATTTCAACCTGTGATGTGTCCGATGAGAAATGCTCGTTACCTCGTGGCACAGACATAAAAATATCCATCAAATTTGCACCAAGTTAGTAAAATAATTGTATTTTAGTCATATACTTTTTCCAATTACAGAAAAAATTTGATATTTCTTGAAGACGTGCATGATACATATTAGAATTTCCCATTATAATTTGACAACAATGTAATATAATTATGTATAAAATATTAAAAAATAAGTATCATATTAACACATTTTTTGCAGACAAAGATATCTCGGACATCACAGCACATGCGTTTGGTGTATTACTCGATGTGCCTATACCTTTTCCCTTGAAAAATCCTGACGTGTGCAAAGATCCAGATTCCGGAGTCAAATGTCCTTTAAAGAAAGAACAGGAAACTGAGTTCAAAAATACATTCAGTGTGGACAAGAAAACTCCTGCAGTAATTTTGCTTTAAATCACAATGTTAACATTTTTGCAATCCGCGTATATATTATTACACCAACTAATTGTAACAAATGGCTGTGATACGAAATGAGTCTTGTGTTTAATTACTTATATATAATTGTTTCTGCGTTGCGAAGCAACACATTTTGCTTATATTCGTATCTATAACAATGAAATACAATAACGCCAATAATATACAATACTAATAGATGTAATATATTAGCTATATTATGTATTCTTAGCAAACACAAGGTTATATATAACGTGTTATATTACAGTTATATTAATGAGTGGGAAATTACAACAGGTACGTTACGTGTAACTTTGTGTTTGTTGGGTAATATCGTCTATAATATGAGAAGTAAATTTGGTGTGATGCTGATTTTATATTAGTTGCATCGAAGCGTCGCAAGCATGTCGCAAGCATTGCGGTCCAATCAGAGCCGAGCTAGCTTGATGTTGATTGAATCGCAACGCTTGCGATGCTGCGAGGCGACTAATGTAGAACTAGTTCAAGAAGTAAGAATAAGAAATTGATCAATCAGTTGATTATTTTGCTCACGTTTAACTGTGATTAGTCAATTTATCTTACTTCTTATACCAAATTTACTCTGTACATTATAGACAATATAGATAACATATATAAATGTTGATAAGACTGATATTCTTACATGACGGCACTTGATGGCCCGCAAAGTGTTAATCTATGACTTTAAATATAAATCATCTTAAATACTTAAAGTTATACAAAAAAAATTGATACTTTATCAAGTTTTCTTAATTACATATCGATTTTTAGAACATAGCTACGTTTTTCTTCTCTGTCCTTTAATTTTGATCTATATTTAACTTTAATCTACATTTTGCAAATTTTTTATTATATATATATATTTTTTTTATTATAAATATATATATTTATATATAAATAATAATGTATATGTATTGTATATTACATTTTTAATTTTAATTATTTTGTTGTCAAATTAGTTCTTGTTTTTTCTTTAGATAAGCGCCGATATTATATGGGAATTTAGAAACGAGAAGGACGAGAAGATTATATGTATAAAATTCCCGGTGAAGGTTGTATAAGAATGCAACTGGAATTTTTGTAGTGACCATGACAGTTTATTGCGCCCCAGTATTCAAGTGTACACGTTACCTACGTTAGTTATTTTTAAAC